CCCCCCAAAAAATATCCAGACCCGAAAAATCCCCCAAAAAACAAAATTCCTGCCCCAAAAAACCCCAAATCCCCCAAATTTGCCCCAAATTCCCGCAGGGTGGAGAAGATGCTCGGGAGGATCCTGAGGAGCAAAGGATGGAGGTGGGGGAGGGGATTTTGGGGGGTCCAGGGGGAAATTTGGGGGTCCCGGGTGGGATTTTGGGGTGATTTCGGGGGATTTTGGGGTCCCTGGGGGGGATGTTGGGGGATTTTGGGATCCTGGGAGGGAATTTGGGGGTCTTGGGGTGGATTTTGGGGTGGATTTTGGGGTGGTTTGAGGAGATTTTGGGGGTCCCCGGGTGAAATTTTGGGATCCTGGGAGGATTTTTGGGGGTCCCGGGAGGGATTTTGGAGCTCCTGGATGGGAATTTGGGGGTTCCTGGCTGGGATTTTGGGGTGGTTTTGGTGGATTTTGAGGTTCCCGGGGAGATTTTGGGGTCCCTGGGTGAAATTTTGGTGGATTTTGGGACCCTGGGGAGAATTCCGGAGCCCCAGGGAGATTTTGGGGTGGATTTTGGGGTGGTTTTGGTGGATTTTGGGTGTCCTGGGTGGGATTTTGGAGATCCCGAGGGATTTTGGGGGATTTTGGGGGCTCTGGGAGGGAATTTGGGGTTCCTGGGTGGGATTTTGGGGTGATTTTGGTGGATTTTGGCATTCCTGGGTGGGATTTTGGTGGATTCTGGGGTGATTTTGGTGGATTCTGGGGTGATTTTGGGGGGATTTGGAGGGAATTTGGGGTTCCCGGGTGGGATTTTGGGGTGATTTTGGTGGATTTTGGGGTGATTTTGGTGGATTTTGGGCTCCCTCTGGGATTTTTAAGGGTTCCCGTGGTGATTTTGGGGTGATTTTGGAGGATTTTGGGTTCCCGTGGGTGGAGGGGGGATTTGGGGTCGCTGCCCCTCCCCCATCCTCGCCCCTCCCCCACCAGACGCTCCAGTTACGTCATCACCACGCGCGTCCACTGGGGGGCGCCGTGAGTACCCACAATGCACCGCGGTGGGGGGGGGGGGGTGTGAATTTGGGGTCATTTTGGGGGATTTTGGGGTCTTTCCGGGGCCTTGTGATCATTTTGGGGGCAGTTTTGGGATATTTCGGGGTGAATTTGGGGTTTGGGGAGGGAATTTTGGCATTTGAGGGTTTTTTTAGGGGTTTCTTTTGGGGAGGGAGGAAATTTGGGGTTTTTTTGGGGGGTGGGTTTGGGGTCTTGGGGGGATTTTGAGGTTCCTGAGATAAACTTTGGATTTTTAGGATGGATTTTGGGTGGAATTTTGGGGATTTTTGGGTTGAATTTTGGGTCCCGGCGTGGATTTGCCGTTTTTGGGAGGAATTTTGGGTTTTGGGGTGAATTTTGGTGTCTCCGGGTGGATTTTGAGGTGTTTTGGGGTGGATTTGGGGATGGTTTTTTTGGGATGAATTTTACTTTTTGAGGGTGGATTTGGGAATTTTGGGTGAATTTTGGTGCCTTTGGTTGAATTTGGGGCTTTTTGGGGTAAATTTGGGCTTTTTTTGCCTCCCCAGACCCGACCGGGGCCTCTCCAGGAAGCACCTGCTGGAAGGTGAGGGGGCGGAGCCTGCGGTGGGCGTGGCCACCACGGGGGCGTGGCCACCACGGGGGCGTGGTCACTTCATGCACCCTACGCACTCTATGCCCTTATATGGGCAAAGCTGTGGGCGTGGCTCAACACTGACCACGCCCACACAGAGGCGAGGCTTTTTGATGGGCGTGGCTTCGCCTTGGCCACGCCCCCTGTGGGTTATTGGGTTTGTGGGCGTGGTTTAAATTTGGCCACACCCCCAGATGCTGAATCGCCCGTGGGAGTGGTTTAAGCTTGGCCACGCCCCCCGTGGGGTCTTTGTGGGCGTGGTCTGATCGTGGCCCCGCCCCCCACAGGTCTCCGGGGGTCCCTGCTCCGCCTCCAGCTCGATTACGTCGACGTCGTCTTCGCCGGACCCCGCCCAGGCCCCGCCCACAATGAGGGTGAGGCCACGCCCCTTTCTGCCAGGCCACTCCCCTTTGTCACAGACCACGCCCATAAACATCAGGCCATGCCCTTTTCATCTATTTAGGCCACGCCCCTTCACCACAAGCCACGCCCTCCTCCGGGCCACGCCTCTATTTGGCCACGCCCATCACGGTGACATCATCCCGCTCCTGCCACAGCCGTTATTGGCCACGCCCCTCCTGACCCGGCCACGCCCTTTCATTTGGGAGGACATGCCCCTTTTCCCAGGCCACGCCCCTTTTCCCAGGTCACGCCCACTCTTAAAAGCTCCTCCATTGGCCACACCCACACCCAGCCCCTCCTGGCACTAATGGCAGTGGCCACGCCCCCTTTGTGGCCACGCCCCCTTTGTGGCCACGCCCCCTTTGTGGCCACGCCCCTCACGTGTCTCCCCCCCCCTCCCAGGAATGGACCCGACCCTGCGGCTGCTGCGGCTGGAAGGTACCAAGGGGGAAATGGGGGGGGAGACACCACGGGGACCCCCCAGGGATCCCCGATCATCCTTAAATCTCCCCAAAAACCGCCCCAAATCCACACAAAACTGCCACAAATCCACCCCAAACTGCCCCAAATCCACACAAAACTGCCCCAAATCCACCCAAAACTGCCCCAAATCTGCCCAAATCCACACAAAACTGCCCCAAATCCACACAAAACTGCCCCAAATCT